GGGAGAGGCAATAAACTCCCTCTGTGCTACTGGCTGGGGGAGTCTGTTTGTGCCACTATGGGGGGTTCAGGAGGCGGGGGACCCCGACGCGCCACCACAACATGCAACAGTGGTTTAATTACAGCCCTTGCAGCATGCTGACGTAACTTTATCAACAAAACTCTATAGTGTGGACAAAACGTAGGACCTGTAAGCTCTGCATGTCAAGCCCTGCGTAACAGATGTGTGCAAAGATTCCTGCAAGCCTCCTTTGCATCTCCATGGAGCTGCTTTGGATAAGCTAGCTGTCAACTAGCTGCCAACCTGCACTCTAACAGCAATGGGTAAAATCACTAGGCTTTTTCATCAATGGGATCTTGGGAAGGGAAACGGTAGAAGAGGAGACATTTGGCACATAAGAGAGCTCAAAACAAGGAAGGAGTTTGCAATGCAGCTGAGCGCTTTCCCAGTGTGGTTTCTTTAAGGCAAAGCAGCTATAGACTAAAGGCGGGTTTTGGAAATAGGCAATAGTATGGCTGGCAGCGAGTGGCCAGCAGGGGCTGCATTCACAGCCTGGCCACATTGCTACTTGATTAACTCCTGATAAAATTCTGACCGCATAAATCTGGGCAGGGAGTCTTTTTCCATCAGGGCAAAGATCCGTTTCTGGGCCTCATTGAAGCTGCTTGCTGATGGTTCCACCAAGTTCTTCATGGTGACAGCTTTGGTGCCATGGTCAATGTTCACCTGTGACGGGGACACAATAGGAAGTGAACAGGATAAGGACTTGGTTCTCCAAGCAAGGAGTGGGGCTCACGTGGTGCTATCCAGGAGCAGACGCACTAGGAATCAGGTAAATGATCAAAGCAGGTTTACTGGGCTCTGGGAAGCACTGGCCATGACTCCATAGTTCAGGTGAAGCTTTGCTCTTTGTTTAAAGATGAGATTTAGCCTCTTTTTTCTGTATGACATCTAGTATGTGCACTCCCCTGACTTACAGCACTGACTCTGGGAAAGTGCTGGGAATTCAAAGGAAAATCCTTTAATCAGCTAACTATGATCCACCTTGAAGAATGGTATTGTTTGATTGGTCTGGCCTGGCCTCTGTTCAGTGTCCTTAATAGTGCAGACATGCTAAACTTTTAGGGGGCACAGTCAGCAGTGCACTTGGGCTGCTTAGCTCTACTCTGGTAATACCAAGCAGCTGTACTCCCAGCGTGTGCTGACTTCTCTGGTTTGGTGCCCTGGGAATCTGTCCTCAGATGCTCAGCTGCAGAAGAATAATCTAATGTCAATGCTGACTATTATCCTCTCCTTTCCAATACTGCATTTTTCTAGGATTTGCGTTGGGGTTCTCCTCTGAAGTCTGTGTATGCAATTGTAAATTATTCCCAGACAAAACATACATTCAGATAATTAATATGGAAGTGCAGACACTAAAAATGCTTTCAACCCATTCTATCTTCATTGCATGGGGTTGCAGCAGGGCAGAGTTAAAGATGGTAGACTGCTTAGAGGACAGTGGTGGAGAGGTATGTCTACACTACAAGCCTCTTTCAAAAGAGAGGGTCTAGACTACAGCCAGTACTTTCCAAAAAGCACAGTTCACGTTCCACAGTGCCTTTCTTTTTTCCAAAGGAGCACTTTCCAAAAAAGGTGTTATTCCTCATAAAATGAGGTTTTCTGCTATAGAAAACACTGCTGCATTCTTTTGATTTACTTTCGAAAGAATGTAGCTGCAGTCTAGATGCAGGGGAAGCGTTTTTTTGGAAATCCACTCTTTTGAAAAAACCCTGAAGTCTAGACACACCCTGGCTGGGTGATAGTGAACTGGACTATGACTTGGGATACATTTGGACCCTAGGCAAGTTACTGCCCCTTTCAGTTTTCCTTTTTCCCATCTGTAAAATGGGTTTAATGTTATTGACCTGCTTTGTAAAGTGCTGTGGAATGGAAACTGATAGTTCAGAGCTATGCAGTTCTTCCCTTAATGTGTTTAGATTTCCCTTAACCCTGACTTGCCTCACTTTATTATATTGGCATGGGGAAATAGCTGGCTCAGTATGCTAATCATGGGACATATGTACAGCTGCCTAAATGGCTACTAATACCTACCAACAACTTTCTTTCCTGTTTTAAAGAAAAAACCTTGATGCAATGAAAAAACCTATTGGTGTGTTAGCTGGAATGCTGTGGGAGAGAGTCCCTACCTCTACCCCCATTATGTGAGTTGTAAAAGGAGGAAAAATGCTGGTACACTTCAGCAATTGTGAGATTGGCAGGGGAATAGTATGCATATTGCTGAAAGAGGACATTTTTGCATGAGAAATCTAAACTGCATTTCCTGTTTGAGAAACTTGCATTTTGTGCTACTGAGTTTTCGGTCACAGGACAATGCATCACCAAGCAACCATAAATGTGTTACCATGGCTCTTTGCCATGGATTAACAGTTTGGCAGTAATTGCTATAAATGTTTCCCTTCAATTACCAATACACACTCAACTTAATCTTACAATAGTTTGTGTGAGACTATACATAAACACAAAACATCCGAGGAGAAACTGGCTTCTCTTCTGCAGCTTCAGGCTGCTTCTCCTGCCTTCTCACTCTGTTTCTTGGGGCCATAGGGTTTCTGCACGAGACAGATCAGTGGATTTCCTGGCACTGCTGGAAACGATGAGATTCCCATGGATGGAGCTAAGAGCGAGGGAAGGTGTAAACAAGTCTTGTGCTTGGAGAAAGGACAAAGGGATGGAGCAGGGGGAGGAGGGTTAAAAATGGACTTGTAGCAGTATTGTAAATAGCTGTGAGTGTTAGTTTGTAGTCCTGCGGTTCATGACGAGATCATAAGAACCAAGGAAGGGGCTTGCACAAGAACATTGAGCTTTATTGGCCAGTGAGACTGGGCCTTCCTAGGGGCCATAGTTGTGAGGTATGGATGCGTAGATCTGGGTGAGGGCCAAGTCAAAGTGACATGCTGGTTAATGGTGTGAGTGACAGGCAAGCTAGAGAGTCTGGTGTGAGGATGGGGAGCGAGGGAAGATGAGGCGTTGTGCTAGATTTCAGTGACACATCAGCCAGTCTTGGACATGTCTCAGGAATGACAAGATGTAGATATGCCGGAGGCAAGTAAACTACCAAGTAACATTGTTGCTGGCATCACAGACCCCTTCAATGTAACTAAATATTTGCACATTCCTCACATGACCTTAACACGAGCTTGTTCATGAGCTCTACAGGGGAATGGAAGCTGGTGCAACCACTAGGCTTGGAGCACAGTGATCCTTTTCTCTGCACCAGTGAGGAACTGCAGGCTATACTGGCCATGCCTCTGGATTATAAACCAGGTGGCTGGACTCTGCTCCAGTGTTCATGACTCTCTGTCTTCAGTCCTACACAAGATGCCAGTGTGGGTACAATGTGAGCAACCTGCTTTGATGTTATCAGGACTTGGCTCATGTATACGTCCGTCCTTCCCCACATCAATGTCCCCTCTGACTCGACTTACCTCTTTAGGTGCCTCCGTCTGGATGAACTCTTCATAAATTTTCTTGGCTTTTTCAGCCATCTTGGTTGGGGACTTGATTTTTTTGTATTCTTCACAGGCAATCCAGAACTCAATGTTCTCCTCACTGAACTCAGATCTAAGGAAGCTCCTGAAGCCGGCAAGACCATCTGCTCAGAGAAATTAGGAAAGGCTCCTTTACAACCCTCGCTCAGTACAAGGAGTTTGCTATGGCTGGGGAAGGTGGGGAGTGGTGAGGAAACAGCACCATACCAGACTGGGCTCATCCATCTCTGCTGGACCCAGGCTTTGTTCCAATGTTTGTGTTGACAGTGGGAGATCATATTGCCATGTTATGAGGAGGTACAGCAAGCACCGCGAGCTGCTTGCGAGGCTGTATCTGATCCAGGAATCCCTTGATGCAATTAGCACTGCAGAACCCAGCAGATGCTCACAATGTGCAGAGAACAATTAGACTCAAACCCAATCTTCTCTCCCTTCAACAAGCTCTTTCAGTTAGGCATGTGTTAATTCCTCAGCAAACAAGCCCAGCATGGTTCAGGTGCTTGACTCTTGGCATTGCTGCACTGGGACACCCCAGCACATCTCTACAACAGGGCTACAGCCCAGGTAAGCTAAGAAACTTAAGCTACTCAATTGAGGTTTTTGAGTCTCGGCTTAATCAACCCAGCCAGGGCTTTGTCTAGTTGGGATAGGCCCTGCTTTGGGCAGGGGTCTGGACTTGATGACCACCTGAGGTCTCTTCCAGTCCAGCCCTGATTCTATTATTCGATTCCATGATCCTAAGTTGAAATAGCTTATTTTGGCACTGTCTATACAGCAGGAAGTCTGCGAGCACTCTTCCTCGGACTTCTTACGCCTTGTACAATGAGGGCTACAGGAGTTGAAGTAAGGAGTCCTCCAGCTTGACATTATTTTGACACTGTTGAAATAACCGCGTGTAGTGTAGACACGGACTGTTTCAGAATAAGCCGTTATTCTGAGAACACGGCTGTATAGACCTATCCCCTGAACCCTGGGGAAATGTTGCATCTGAATCGTGCTTCAGATCTTAATTTCCTATCTGGCTCTTCTCTCTGCAAGGCCCAAACCATCCATTTGGGCCTCTCCTAGAGTTCTCTCCTCCCTCCCCCGGATTTGGGGATGGGGCCACAACAGGGAGCTGCATGGATGTGCCAGAATGCATTGGGTGTATGGGAGTCTCTGCCTGATTCACAGGGGCTGTCTACATTGGTGCAATCTTGCGCAAAAACTTGCCTGTCTACACTGGCCATGAGTTCTTGCACGAGTACGCTGACATTCAATGTATGAAATCAGTGCTTTTTGCGCAAGAACTATGATGCTCTCGCTCAGGGAGAAGCCCTCTTGCACAACTGTTCTTGCACAAGAGGCCAGTGTAGCCAGGCAACATCAATTTCTTGTGCAAGAAAGCCCGATGGTTAAAATGGCCATCAGAGCTTTCTTGTGCAAGAGAGCATCTACACTGACAAGGATGCTCTTGCGCAAAAGCACATGCCAGTGTAGACGCTCTCTTCTGGAAGAGTTCTTGCGCAAGATCATGCCAATGTAGACATAGTCAGGGAAAGGAAGGATTGACTGATGTTACAGGAGCAGAAAGAACAGACAATATGGGGATGAAATCAGACATGTGCTGCCACCCAGTGGCATTAGTGAGACGTGACTCTCACACTTCTGGATAGGAGGGGTTCCCCTTGTGCCCTGACTGGCAGTGCTGTGCAAATCAAGTGGTTTTTTGAATGTGTCACTACAAAACATTTGGAGGGGATTGGTGTTTTATGGACAAACATTCACCTTCTGTCACGTTGTTGGATTCTAAAGATCACTGTTGCACCCATGGGGGGGGGTGTTTGCCCCAAAAGTCTGTACAAAGGGGGCCATGTGAGATGTCAAATGAAAGCTTGTGTTCCACTGATTCTATATATGCTATTCATGTAATTGTATAACATCGGTGTGGCATTATAAATATGTTCTCTGCGCTTATGCTGGAAGGGTCTCTGCCCAAGACAGAGCAATGGGCAAAGAATGTTGAGCCAGTGACTGTGCTAATAGCAAAGCTCCAGGGACAATAGACCTCTAGGTGCCAATGCACACCTGACAAATGTGTCTGGATACCTGCAAACCAGCTAGGGCATAATGGCTGCCAGCATGTGAAACAGGTCACTCAACCATGTGACCTGCTGTGGCCACGAAGATGCCAGGAGAGGTATATAAGTGCCACGTGGCACCCTCCATCTTGTCTCCAGTTCAGCTACTGATTCCAGATGAAGCCTTGTGAGGAACAGTGAGCCAGAAAGAACTGTGGACCCATCCTGACAGGCTGTACACCAGAGGTGTTATAAACTGCTAAGACAGTGTATTAAACTGGGTGATTCAATGCATGTAATGTATCTTTAACAACCTTACTCAACCTTTTCTTTCTTATTAAACCTCTAGATTCTAAGGGATTGGCCCAGCGTGATCCTGTGGGTAGGATCCAGAGTGTAAATTGACTAGGACCCGTGGCTGGTTTCTAGGGACCAGAAGAACCTGTTTGGGGTAGGTGAGATTGGGTTCTAAAACCCCTCACCTGTGTGCAGGCCCAGGGTTGATTGCGGCACAGGGAGATGTGGGATGTCAGAGGGGTTTTGCTTATGAAGCTTCTTGCTGGCCAGATTGGCAGCTGGAGCGCTCGGTGTGACTGGTGTGTGACCTGTTTGAGAGAGGCCTCCAGTCAGAGGCTGTAAAGAGCCCTGAGTTTTGAGCAATTAGCCCTGAGCAGCTGCCCTTAGCGATGCCCAGTCTGTCACACCTTCATAAATCTGATTGGGGATTTTTCAGTGAATAAAGGAGTCCCCTGAAAGCTGTTGATGTTGTCAAGCTCTTGTGCATGCATGTTTTCTCCCAGAAGCCAATTTCTCTCCAGCTCTTTAAGCCTTTCCAAAGCTGGGGGGGCGGGGTGCTCCTACTCTGCAGGCCTGACCTCCTGCATGTCACAGAACCTCACACACCCTCTCCTGTAACACACTGCTAGGTGAGTTACTAGCCGTCTCAAATCATGGTTTAAAGGCTTCAAGAATCCACCATTGACACTAGTTTACACCTGCAAAGGACCCATGCCCTGTCCTGCAGAGGAAGGTGATAAATGCATGGGTCTCTGCCAATCTGACCTGGGGAAGATTCCTTCCTTACATCAGTTGGACTCTTGAACATATATGCAAACAGCTGGAGACAAATTCTGTTCTCACTCAGAGCTCTCCCTCTTCTGAGTTCTAGCACCAGCCATTGGAGAGAGGGGCTGCGAAAAAGTCAGATGGGCCATATGCCACTAAGCAGTTTGATCATATCATCCCCTCTGTACACTCATCAAGTTCAGTCTTGAAGCCATTTTGACTTTTTTCAGTCCTTTCTCTTCTCTCCTCTCCCTCCTTTCCTTCCCCCCCCACTCCCCAATTCTTTCTGGGAGGCTGTTCCATAACACTTCATCCCATTTCTGGTATGCCAGTTTTCAAAGTCTTTGAGATCTTCCATGATATTTTGGTCCTCTTCCGCATGGGCAGTACCTCAAATTGTCATCCACAAACTTCCACCCATTTGTGGAAGGTAAGAAATAAAGAGGTTTGGTCTCAAGACCCATCTCTGAAGAATTCTGCTAGTAAACTTGCTCCAGCTTGCCCATTCATTCTTCCATATGATCCGTTGTATTCTTCCTTTTAAGCACTTTTCTCCACCTTTCAGTTCTTAAATTAATCGTCCCCTTCTCCAGTTTAATTTCCTAGGTGGAACTGTATCAAATGCCTTACTGAACCAGAGGTAGATCTGATCTCCCGAATTTCCTTTGTCTAAACATCAATTATTTTCTCTTTCAAAATTGGCTTCGAGATGCTGCATGCAACTGAGGTCAAACTGGTCTGCAGGTTCCTGGATCACTTCCCCCCCCCCCCTCCACCCTTTCTTGAAAAATAGGCACCATAGTAGTAATTCTCCAGTCATAGGGAACAACCCCCAATTTACAGATTAAGAATTCTTACTATTAGGTCTGCATTTCATGTGCAGTTACTTTAATATGATCATGTGTCCCAGGTCCATTAATCTAGGTGCACTCATGGGCTTATTTCCTCTGTCCTTGCCAATTGGTTTGCTCTTTGGATGGTGGCCGTTCCTAGCAGTGCCCTCAGAACCTCTGGCTATGTCTAATTTGCATCCCTTTTACGAAAAAGGGATGCAAATTAGACGTATCGCAATTGCTAATGAAGCAGGGATTTAAATCTCCCCCGCTTCATTAGCATAAAAATGGCTGCCGCTTTTTTTTGGCACGGAGGTTTGCTGGAAAAAAGCACCAGTCTAGATGCGGATCTTTTGGAAAATAAAGCCTTTTCTGAAAGATCCCTTATTTTATTTTCCAAAAGATCCGCATCTATATTGGCACTTTTTTCCGGCAAAGCTCCATGCCGAAAAAAGCGGCAGCCATTTTTATTCTAATGAAGCGGCAGAGATTTAAATCCCCGCTTCATTTGCAATTGCGATATGTCTAACTTGCATCCCTTTTATGAAAAAGGGATGCATTCTAGACATAGCCTCCGTATGGGTGTTGATGCAAGGACGAAATCCTACAATATCCCCCTGCAATTATAGGCTAAGGGAGCAAGGACCACGGTCACCTGGACTGATAGGGAACCAATCCTAGAAACCTGGCTGGGGAGGGGAGGTGCAGGGAGTGGCTGTAGAGTGTACGGTGCACAGAAAAGGGCTACAGCGGAGAGGTCTCTTCCTGGGACCAGGGTGTGTGGCTTTTCCTGATTGTTTTGTGCCTCCTCTCAACCCTGTTGCTGCCATTGTTCTATTTAGCTGGTGCCCTGGATAAGGTTGCCTGAGGGAGCCCAGTCGTTCCCTGTCCCTGGGTTTCCGTCTTGCCCTCTGCAGTGGGTCTGCCAGCCTGGCTCCTGGTTTTTTGCACTTTTGGGCTTTTCAGGCCATGAGGGGCCATCAGCTACAATGACTAAAGATGGTCTCCAGAGCCCCTATTCAGGCATTAGAGGGGTTTCTGGAATGCCTGTGCGATACCCAGGGAGCCCAGCTGTCTTTCACACCCATCTATGCTCTCCTTCTACAGATGAATGTGAGCACTTCTGAGCCCCAGCTTCCCCCATGGTTCCTCGGTATTGGTCTGTCTCTCCCCACGATTTCTCTGGGATCACTGTCCAGCAGACAAAGCACACAAGGATTCTGGTAGCTGGGGGGGATGCATCAAGTCATTTGGTGCAAAACGGAGGGGATGCTCAAGCATGTGAGTGTCAGTGCGTCTATGTGGGGTATGAACAAGGCACCGCCATCAGCACATAAAAGATGGCAGGACAGCAGCGTGAGATCAGCACAGAGCCACCTGTGCCCATGTGCAATAAATGTAGCTTTTGGCTGTGCCTGGGAGAGAGCTCCCCTTTGCCTGCTCTCAAGGCCCACTTAGAGTCCTGGGTGCAGCCCATCCCAGTGGCAAAGCCCCTCTTCCAGAGGGGGAGAAAGGCCTGCCCTGGCAGGCCAGCACCTCACTGGAAGGCAGCAGCTTTTAACAGCTGCAAATCCTTGTGAAGACAACAAGGACAAAAGACTGTTGTGACGGAGGGTCTGTCTGCACAGCAGCTAGATCCCTGTGTCTGGCCCCTGCCCATTGAATTGGCCTCAGGCTGTGGGGCCCTTTCATTGCTGTGTAGGTGTCTGGGCTCGGGCTGGTGCTTGGGCTGTAGGAGCGTGACAGGTGGGAGTCCCAGAGCTCTGGACTCAGCACATGCATGGAAATCTACACACATGTAACACTCCCGCACCCAGCACCACAGCCTAGAGTTAGCTGGAAAGGCTGGCCCTGGGTTTTCTTTGCCCTCCGGGCCCCCTGGCAAGGTGGGAGGACAGAGCCTCAGGTGGAAGGATTGGGGCTGAGGCTAGTCTCCCCCAAGCAGCCTTGAGCACTACCCACAGTGCACTGGCCAAGGATGAGGCGGCAATTTAAAGGGCCTGGCCTCTGTCTAACGCTGCTGTCACAGTAGCAGTGGCAGAAGCCAGGAGCCCCGGACCCTTTGGAATCATGGGGCAGTTGGTGGGCCTGCTGTGTAGACCTCTTCTCATGTCACCACCCTACAGAGCTTTTTGCAGGGCTCAGCAATCAGTAAAGTCTGACAGCCCTGAGAATGTTGAACAAGGGCTGCTGGCTCGCAGACAGCCTCTGCCCTGAGAGCAGCAAAGCACATGCTAATTAGTGAGCACAAGGCAGGGTTAGCCAGAGAGCAGTCCCAAGAAAGTGATCTCTGGGAATCAGCTGGAGAAGGAATGAGGCAGCAAGAAACGAGCATTAAAACTAGTGCACATGTCTGAAGCACATGTCTGACATGACCCTGAATCTCAGCCTGCTCAACTCTCTCATCCCACCACAAAGCCTGGAGGAAGAGGAGCAGAATTTCATTAAGTAAAAGAATGATCAATAACTCATCTGCTTGCAAAACAGGAAGCTAACCGACTGAGACTGAACTTAGTCAACTCTAGAAAATGAGATCAGCTTAATCCGACAGACACATGGGACAAGACTACAGGAGAGATCTACACGGGGGAGTTTGTCCAGCTTTACATTGCTGCTACTGAATTGTCTCTCTTTTCTGGCTGACAGGTCATTCAAGGCTGAGACCAGGGCATGGGAGGGGGGAGGAGGATGTGAACCTTCCCCAGGTCCCGCTGGGGCCCATTAGAAAAGCTAACCCTTAGCAGCAACAGGTCCTTCTCCTATACTCTTCCAGAGCTACCAACCTCCACCAGGATGTGGTTAAAGAGGATCAGCAGAAAGGGGACACTTCTTTATATGAGTGGAGACATTTCACACACAACATTTCTGTTTAGATAGTAGGGGTGCAAGGAACTTACAGGCATTTTGCAGGAGTTTCTCCAGGGACTCACGCCACTGCAAAGCCTCATCTGGTGAGGGCCTAGAAGGGAAAAACCCCACAGAATGAGTGTGTGACAGCACATCATCAATGAAATCACAGGAGAGTTAAGAACATATCACACATCTTATCCCCTCTTGCATAGAGGAGAAACTGAGGTACAAAACAATGAAGTGATTTGTCCAAGGGTACACTACAACTCAGTGGCAGAGATAGGATGAGCCCCCAGAAATCCCGAGTGAGGCATTAACCACTAACCATATAACTGGGCCCATCTCTTTGAGAGTTAGCTATGGTTTGTATTGGAAGACAGAGGTGTCTTTGCCCCACACACTGATACAAAAGAAAATCCAAACCACTAGTTGGGAGGTAAATCTGCTCAGGAAATACATGGCATGGAGCAGGAAACTGCCTGCAGAAACTGGGAGCATGCATCGCCCTCTCCCCCCACTCATCCGCCCAGCCATGATCTGCGATTGTGCCTGGCCCTGAGACTGCTGGGAGCCAGGGTATTATGGGAGTGCAGAGAATAGCTGGACCAGGAAGGAGCATCAAGCAGCTCTGAGGAGAGCTGCTATTCAACTAGAAACAGCAGCCACCACTCTGCTGGCTTTATCCGTGTTTAAAATGATGGAGTGTGTATTGCAGACACTGAAAGTTAGTCATCCCTTAGGGCATGTTACACAGGAGGGCTAAATTCGAAATAAGCTGATTGCGTCGCTTAAGTCGAAAGAGCTTTTTTAGACTTTTGATGCTGTCTCCACAGCAGTTATTTTGAGATCAAGCAATCGTCCCCTGACTTCCCTTACTCCTCCTACAATGCTACAGGAGTCAGAGTAAGCAGTCCTCCCGCTAGACCTTATGTCGAAGTCACTGCTTGCGTGTAGACGCAGACTGTTGTTTTGGAATAACATGAGGTATTCCAAAATAACACTGCTGTGTAGACACAGCCTGACAGTGCAGATCCCAGTACAAGGTCTGAGGTAGGGGATTATGCTGCCTCAGCCTGGGGCTCCCAAATCCAGGGTGGCGATTGCAGCCACCCTGTAACCAATTGCTGACTAATTGTAGTGACCAATATGGTCTGTAGCAATGTCACAGAATAGCTGGGGCAGGACCTAGTCCTGCCATGCCCCCTTCTGCTCCTGACCTTTCTCAGGGGTTCTGTGGTATTTTTCCCCTTTGGTTTTCAGTGGCTAGTAGAGGGCAGCGTGCAACCAGGGAGGATGGGGAAGAAACAAAGAAATGGATGCTCAGATGATCTTGGCTGGATTTCTACCCGTGCCTATAGAGGAGAGCAAAGGCAAGACAAGATTATGATGATCTACAGATGGCTCAGGCAGTGGTGCTAAAGGGAGGGCAATGGGATGTTCAGCCACTGGGATCATTCATGAGCAGGCCTACTCCCTTGGGATGGACTCCAGCTGGGGAGTGAGAGATTAAAAGGGCATTCAATTAGGAGTTTGGGGAGACTATGGGGAGATGCTCATGTGATCTCCATGCCTGATTCGAAAACAGAAAGGGAAGAAAATCAAGAGAGACTAGAGCAATGGTGAAAGAAGTGTCAGTGGGTAGGAGACGGCATGAAAAGGAAAGAGAGAGCCAGTGCCAGTGCCCATGCCCATGCCAGTGCCAGTGCCAATGCCAATGCCGTTAAGGGTCAGTTAAAAGACGCTGGCAGTGGAATGACTGTGCCTAAGCAGATGAAGAATATGGGAAAACCAAGCAGAAATGTCCAGACATCATAACCACCAATGCAAGGAGCCTGGGGAATAAAATGAGGGGCTAGAACTACTATAGGTGAAGCCAGATCTATAGAGATAACAGAAACATGGTGGAATAGTAGTCACGAGTGAGTCACAGATATTGAAAGGTACGTGCTGTTCAGGAAAAAGGGGGAGAAAGGTAAAGTGTGAAGTAGCTTTTTCATGCAGCATATTGGGGTTATGGGGAGTGCTGGTAGGTGAAACATTCTTTTTAACTCAGAAGAAGGGATTTGGGGTGTGGAAGAGAGCTTGGGATAGAGGCTTCGGGTATGGGGAGGGCTTGGGAGAGCTCCCCGCAATCACAATTTGTCGCTGCTGCTCCTGGTGGAGGCATGGCTACGTGGTTCTGCATGCTGCCTCTGCCGGAGGCATCATCCCCGTTGCTCCTTTTGGCTGCAGTTCCTGGCAATTGTATCTGGAGATACAGTATACAGGAGGGGTGAGGCAGCACACAGAGCCAACTGGTCCTACTTTGAGCATGGGTTGGACTAGATGGCTTCCTAAGATCTCTTCAGACCTGATCTTCTATGATTCTATGAGTGGGTAAAACAGACTCTTTGTAGGTCAAGAGCACTTTGGGGAAGACAGCTACCAGAGGCTCCCTGTGAAAGTATTTGGGGCATGCAACTCTCCTGGATCTGACTTGAATGGGGATTGCATGGTTATGAGAGATTTTAACTTCCCAGATATAGATTGAAGGACAAATGCTACTAATAGATGGATATGAACTGGAGAGCAACAAGTTTAGCCTTGAAATTAGATGAAGGTGTCTACCCATCAAAATATGAAGATCTGGAACAGCCTCCCAGGGGGAGCAGAGAGGGCAAAAACTGACCACTAGTCTGATTGCCATATTTAGGGTTATGAAGGAATTTTCTACTGAATCAGATTGACAGAAACCCTGGGGTTTTTTTTGCCTTCTACTGCATCATGGGGTATGGGTCACTTGCAGGTCTAAGCCAGTGTCAGTGGTGGATTCTCTGTGACTTGAAACCTTTAAGCCATGATGTGAGGGCTCAGTAAACTCAGCAAGAGGTCAGGGTTTGTTCTAGGGAGAGGTTCTGTGGCCTGTGATGTGCAGAGAGTCAGGCTAGATGATCATGATGGTCTCTTCTGGACCTAAAGTCTAGGAGTCTATAAAAATGCCCTGGGGAAGGATGCGCAGCAAATATGGCTTGTTCCCCTGCCCCTGCTGAGAAGGTCCTCTGTGCTAGGGGCATTCCTTGAGACAGTGTGTTGGGCACTCTTTGTACTGGCATAGCCTCGATCCTGACTGCAGTCAAGCTCACTGAACCCAGGAGATTAGAAAATGCAGCAGATATTCAGATCGTATAGGCAAGCAGAGAATGGGAACGGCAGGGCTGGGCTCAGGACCAGGGACTGCAAACAGTGCAATGGGGAACAGTGTGAGAGTCTGCTGGACTAAATCATTTAATATAACCACTTACATCTTACTCATTTGCTTAGAAGCAGGGATGAAAGCGTTGCTGTGGTGACGTTTGCCCAACACTTCCCATTATAAGAGTTCATCTTCAGTTGCTTATAACTTTATCAAACTAAAAATTTGCGGTAAAATGTTCAGTGCCAATTATCTGCTTTGGGCTGCCTACTTTGGGGAAGTTTCATCTGAAATGGCTGAACACTTTCTGAGAGTAAGGTTAGGGAAAACAGGCTAAACTTTTCACAACTGGCTTTTTGAGAAACATTTGAGCCCTGGCACGTTGGAGCAGTGACATGCATTTTCTGTGGGTCGCTCTGGTGTGAAGGAGATGGTTTTTGCTGCTCCATGAAAACCTGCACAAATTTGCCTTAGTTATAAGCTTTGGAAATTGCCATTTTCAAATACTTAGTAGGAACTGGTTAGAGTTTTGGCAGCTACTTGCTCTAAAAATTCCATCTGCACTGAGCATACTTCATCTCCTCATGACTCCTACATGTGACTGGACTGCATATACACCAGCCTCCAAAGCGGGGTTGCAGACAGATTTGCCAGGCCTCTGGGAAAGGTGAGGTAGGAGCATCAGCTCCATGCTCCCAGGCAGAAGGGTGGGGC